CCATTTTCATGACATATCCCGACACCCCCATTTCCTTTTCTTTCCACGTACTCAAAGCGTTCTGCTAACTGGAACCCCCCCACCCATTTTTCATTGACATATCCCGACCACCCCCATTTCCTTTTCTTTCCACTAACTCAAAGCGTTCTGCTAACTGGAACCCCCCCACCCATTTTTCATTCTTATATTTCTTTGTCCTTTAGGCACGTTCTTCATGTGATACTTGCTTTCTCCACTCGCCAATTTTGTTCATTCTCTTACTAATATATGGTGGTGATGTAACAAAGTGTTTTAAGGTTAATAAAATTTATATTTTACTTTAAGCTTAAAGCCCCTTCTTGGATGTTTGGCTGTAGGAGGCTTAAGTTCCCCCAGGAGAATGCTCTGTCTAGAGGTAAAGTTAGTCCATCTCGGATTTAAATTAAAATAGTTAAAAGTAAAGGGCAGAGTTAATGACTCAAATAACTAATGAAACCTCAGTTAATTAACTGAGACTTAATGTTGTTTATAGAAACAGTACTGTGATAGGAAGGAGATTAAATATATTAACGGTATTGTAAATCCGGTCAAATAAATTAGCATCACATATTTTACAGTTAATACTTGATTACGAGAGTAGCCACCTCATGGTTTAAAAAAAGATCTTCTGGCTCTCCACGGACAGTACAAGGTTCAAGCTTGCTAGTTATAGACATCTAGCGTTGATAGATGCCCCTAACTACAAAAGGAAAAGAAAGTATAAAAAAAAATTAGCCTCTGGGATGCTCAAGGATTCCCACCAAAATCCCAAAGCTAAATGCAACCTCTACAAACAAGTGAGAAAGAGCCACCCAATAAGGCTTTAGCTTCGACGGACGTATTGTATGGATATAGTTGCTGTAATCTGACAAGACTTGGAGATACTATTTTTTCAAAATTATGTACCTTTAGGTTTAGAAACCAAATTCCCATTTTCATCATCACTAACTTTCTTACTTGACTAAAGGTTTCTGTGGCGTTTTCATAAATTGGATATCACCGTTGAGAACAGAGCTGATAAATCTTTCCACTTCTTCTGCAGCCATGTCACCCACAAATGTTGCAAACTTCCCCTTCCGAGGTTTGAATGCTATCAACAGCGAATCTGATGATCTGAATCCTGCCTTGTCGAATGCTTCTAAGAAGGAAGACTGCTTTTTGGCATCCAAGAGAGAGTAGGATACAGAGTTTCTGGAGCCAGAGTTCTGTCGCCTTGATAGAGATTTATGTGACACCTGAAACCATATATTATGCCCAAATAAGAAAACTAAAGTCAGATTAACAAACTCCAACTGTTTTTCTTTTCAGTTTATATGCTTGCTAGCCATCTGGATTCTCAAGAAAAATTACCATTCATATTTGACTAGCATTTTGAGAATGCAGATTTTCTTTCATGTCTGTCACTCACAAACAAAAGGACATTCAGACTACAACAATTATCAGGTCTTTATGGTAAGTCCTTGTGTACGGCTGAAGGGAATGATAGGAATACAATAAAGCAGAACAGATAGGATAGTTTAGGACCAATTTTAGTGTCTCAAACATTTCAATAAATTGGCCAAACTCACCAACCAAACATGAAAATGCTACTTCAATGGAAAAGCATTAATGAACCATAAAATAATTGAAATGCAGCAACTAATTGTCAAGCCACAATATATCTGTTGTATTGGCACTTAAGTATCTGCCTAGTAAAACTACAGTCGCACAACTGTCAATCTAGAAGGCTATATGAATTAATCATTTATCAATAGCATATTTAAGGGTATGATGCTTCAGTTGCAGTGTTGGAAGACAAGTAGGCTTAATTTGGGTTTGGAAAAAAGTAATTTTCTAAAGCAAAATATTCTCTATGAGAATTAATTTTTTTCTGAAAAGGAAACAAAATATCTTGTGAAGATAACAATTGACTACCATACACATTTGGAACTCATAAAATTTTTTTGAAAAAATTATAGAAATATCTTTAGATAAATACAACTACACAAAGGCAATAAGAATAATATGCTTGAAGAAAAGCACATAAAAATTTTGAGGAAAACATTGAATAAATTTTAAAAATTTTCCTTCAATAAATAATGAAAGAATTGCAAAAATATGATGATTCTATACTTAGACATATATTTAACAGTTATATTTATAATTTCTTTTTTCCAGAAATTATTTGGTTGACTTGTTTACTCTTTTCCTTCACTGACCATAGAAGAATAGGAAATATAGCTTTCAGGAAGTGACTTTCTGTCAAACAAATAAAGCCTAGCGAACAATCTGTATGCAATGCTAGTACAAGTAAATCACAATATCCATGCCAACAAACAAAAATTGCTGGAGACAAGGGGGAGGAAGATTGTTCAAGATTGATAACATCTCTATGAAAGAAAATTTACTCACCATGGATAAAACGGATTCCAGCTTATCCCTAGCTCTAGATGATCTGAATGCACCGATGACGCAAACGGGAGTTGTCTCATCACATAAAGTGTCAAAATTTAATCTTGTAAGGAGAGGAACTTTCTCCGAAGAATCAGTCTGTGCTTTATTTGACTGGGCAAAAGCCACCTTGTTCTTTTTCTCAAAGCCATCAAGCAAAATGCTAAGATCATGAATTGCAAACTTTATATCTTTCACAAAGATCCCCGTTCTCAAAACATGCTTCTCACCATTTGACAACCAGCCAACTATAGCTGGAAGCGCATCCACTCCTAATTTCTTCACTCCCGGATCAGAAACGTCATGAACCTGTATAGAACAAGGATAAAGTACATTGACTACACTTCTAGGAAGATAAAAAATAAAAGGAGAAACAGAAAAGACTTCAACTTTAAAGCAAGCTATTTTTCCCTTTACAGCAGGGGTTTAACTGTCTTTGACAAGAATTCAGTTGTTGAGCCAGATCAGTTAGAATGCATTTGTCGTCAAGTTCAAAAGGTACCAGTTTTAATGAACAACGTGTGAAGAAATCAAGAAGAGAAAGTTTGTGAGACAAGAAAAAAATCCTCTAATTTTCTTCCCAAATTAATTGGGTACAAATGTGCCAAATATATAGACCTTTAGCCAAGACAAAAACGGTTAAAAGATGCTAATTAAAAAAAAATTAATGGAGAGAGCACCTACCTGTCCTAACAATACCAGCTATCCTAACCACTTGAGAAAAGACTAAGTTGTCCCTAATGTAAGTATACATATATATATACATTCCTACATATGAACATTCTATACTTCTCCTGAATCTAGGTTACATATATGTTAAGTAACCCTACATTGAATACAAGATAATTGAACTCCCTTTTTAGTAGTGCTTTGGTGAGTATGTCAGCTATTTATTGATTAGTTGGGATGTATAGGAGTGATACATCCGGACTTTCAATTTTTTCTCTGATGAAGTGACGATCAATCTCAACATATTTAGTTCTGTCATGGTGCACTGGGTTCTTGGTCATATTAATAGTTGATTGATTGTCACACCAAATCCTCATTGCAATAGGAGTAGAAAATCTTAGTTCTATTAGAATCTTTTTAAATCATACTCCCTCACATATTCTATGTGCAAGTGATCATAATTCAGCTTCAGTGCTGCTTCTTGATACAACAGATTGCTTCTTACTACGCAAAGTGACTAGATTACCTCAAATATAATAGCAGTAACCAAATGTAGATCTTCTATCTGTCACAGATCCAGCCCAATCAACATCAATATAGATCTCAATATCTCTTACCATATTCTTTTGAAAGAATAATCCTTATTCAAGTGTCATCTTTAAATACCTCAGAATACGATAAACAGCACACATGTGTTCTTCAGTAAGTTGAGACATGAACTGACTCACAATACTAACAGCGAAACAGATGTCATGTCTTGTATGAGCCAAGTAAATCAGTTTGCCTACAAGCCTTTGATACCTTTCTTTATCAACAAGTTTTCTGTCACTTTTGGAACCAAGTTTAGTATTT